AAGTCTTGTGATATATGAGAGTGGTGACTCTGTTTAGAAATAAAATTAGATGTGTGGCCCTAAGACTACCCCCCTCTCCTCTTGTTATTTGTATATCTTGATTGAAACGAACAAAATGTTGATTCGGCTTTATTTTATTTGTACGAAATCCGAGCATTTACATGTCTTTTTTTTGTTTTAAATTTATCTTTCATGTCCGCAGCCCTTTGCCAGTGAAATCAATTCACTTGTGAACAGAACGACAGAACCAAAAAAAAAGTGGAATATTTGCTGTAAGAATTGTTCGGGCTCACAGAATATTTAAATGGCCCCTGCACATTTTTTTTCCGATTCGAGCCTCAAACAAATCAGAGAAACGGAAATAATTAAATTTTTGGCGTCGGGAAAAATACAATTTTTCGCACCGTTGCCGTGGCAGTGAATTCTGTTCTGAGCCATGCAGCAAAAAAAAAAGGGAAATGCATCCCACTTGGTCCTGTGCATTCCCAACTGGTTTGCTCCTTGTGGCACCACGGCGGATGCCTATGAAATGCAGCTGCTGTGTAAAATGATTTTTGCTCCCTCATTCATTAAAAAACAATTAAATGTGCGACACGCGAACTTAATTACACTTTTATGTGGCCAGCTCGGATGACAACAACCATCCCGGCAATGTTGGCCGAACACAGAGGGATTCGCAACCACCATCCTTCTCAAACCATCGTCAGTAGCCTACCATTTGTGGTTTTTAGTGCGTGCCCCACGTCGTGGAAAACTCTTCAACTTGAATATTTTATGGCCTTGCAACGGACCACGGAGTACAGTATGGGCATCAAACAATTTGTATAATCAACAATTAAAGTGCGGATCGGCTCGTGGCCGCGCATTAAGTGAGCATTGTGTCTGGGCTGCCATCCTCCTCTTCGTCCTTGTCCATCTGCCTGAAGGGAGATTTTCCAATTTGTACTCGCAGCAAATTGCAAAGTTTTGTTTTGCGGTTCTTTTCCATCGCATCAGGGCAGACAGACAACAAGGACCGGCATTTCGCCATTTTCGGACGGCTGTAAACTTCAATTGCGCGTTAAAAATCACCCCGCAGCCGTCTGTCGTCGTTTTTGCCAGTCTTAACCCATTAAAACATGCCCAGCTCTCTCTCACTCTCGGCGGATCTTGTTGTTATTAATGGCATTAATTAAAAATTAAATTTGTTACTAAACCCGTTTAACGCCGCTCTGTCTGGAATTTTGCGTAACATAAATTGCTTGAGATGCTGTCTGAGATTCCTTTGGATATTACTTGGCATATTCCGTTCATATTTTTTAAACATTTTTCGCCATGCCTAATATGTGTTTCCGACAAAGTAACTTTGGTTTTGTCATTGCGAAAATGTGAAAACATTTCAAGCTGAAATTTCGAGTAAGCTTTGCATATAAAGCCTATAAATTAAACTCAGACACACATGCTAATATTTTCTGTTATATACATTTAGAAATATATATATATAGCAGGGGTACTAGCACGCGCCACTCGTAATCATGGCAGATGTCCATGGTGGAGCATGGCTCAACATTTCAGAAGCCGAGAACTAAGCTTCACGGCTTTTGGTTTTTGTCAGCGCAAGAAATCCCAAAATTAAATAGAAAATAATTTGATTTATGCTTGTGGGCAGACCATTTCAGTGTACATACACACTTTTGGCTGATTAGCCATTGTTATTTTTGAATATTTACGACCAAATGGGCAAATGGGCGAAGCAGACACCAAATGAGATTTTTGTGAAATGAGTGCAATAACCTCTCATTAATCCAATTAGACATGAGACATCAAGGATCACGCATACGCAGTGTGGCCGGTTCTGGCACAGCAGGATCTCTGTTGCTACTTCATTAGGCATCTCTGTGCCCCCAAAGACTTTTATTTATACATTTATTTATCGGACATTTATCATGAAATTACTGTAATAACTTGGCGTGCCATGATTTATGCTGGAAAATTATTTCCACTTGTTTTTCATCGCTCCACCCAAGCAAGAGGCCGCCTTTTGCCTCTTTTCGCTTTCAATTATGTCCTGGATTCCGTTGTCCTTCGTCTTGTGTATGGATTTTCGATGATGGAATCACTGGAATCACACGAACTGCGGTCAAATCGCACGCACGCCTGGCTCGGCAACATTTAGCTAACTGATTTGTCGCCATTCATTGAAGTTGTCATTGTTGCTCTCGGGGTGGTTTTTCGATTTTCTCGGCATTTCTGATGATGACAAAGGAGGTCCTGGCTGGCGGATCTGCTGCTGCTGTTGGTAAGCTGACTTGTCTTGTTAACGTTCTGGCCGTCGACATGTGTGAGATTTCCGGCGCTAGGATTTATGGGGAAAAATATATCAAAAAGTTTTTGCGCTTAAGTTTGTCACCATTTCAGGAAAAATACATCTGAAAAATGGTCTATTCTTCCAAAAACAAATTGTGGTTAATGCGTAAAATTTTTTCGTATACTAAACGAAATAAAAATTATCTATTTGTTAAATTAATGAAAAATAAATTCGATTTTTACAAAATATTTTTTTTTAATAATTTGTGCGGTGCCATTTTTAAATATTTTCTTAAATTCTTTCTTCAAAATACAATTTTTTAAGAATTATGTCAAAAATATGTAAGCCATTCTTAACTTTTAATGAATAACTCTTTTGTTGGACGAGCCAACTCTGATATACTTATTTTTAAAAAGCTTAATATAAATATATAAAAAAAAACACCTTTGCTTTTTTAACATCATCCTTCTTAGGATTTTAGTACTCACAGGTAGAAAACTAAAAGTTCATACTAATAATTTTTGTTTTTCTTCTACTAATGACGTATAAATAAGTTTAACTATAATATTTTTTACGTCCACATTCATTTATAACGGTTCTTTAATTATTTATAGCGATGTTTTACTCCCGTATTGGCCATTAAAATGGAGAATAAAAACTCCGTTATCTGTTCCAATAGGAACTCGATGCCACATCGAGGAACCATTACCTGCCCCAATAAAAGCTGAGTGGGCCTGTCGCCATGTGACTACAGCAATAACGATGGCATAAAATTCGTAGAAAACGAAAATCAAAGTGAAAAAAACAAGAGAATTTAAGAGATGGGTGGGGATGTGGAAAAACAAAAAGAGAAGAGCCACCAAATTGACTTAATTCCGTATTGTTGTTTTGCTTTTTCCCCGTTATTCTATTTTTTTGTTGATTTTCAGCGGGTGGAGCAAACAGCTGATTTGGTTTAAGAGAGAGAAAGCTTAGAATGAGTTCCACTTCCAGTCATTCTTACTCTCTCCAGTGTGGAAGAGAGAGAAGAGAGTAGAGATGTTTGGAGCTTAACCCACATTGCCGAGGAGGTCTGAAGCCTGGCCAGTAACGAATGGCATCTTCAGTCGTTGGAATACACTCGTGCGTCGTGGTCACAATTGAAAAACGCTCTGTCGCCGAAAATTTGCACGTGGCAAAACGGTACTTAGTTCTTTACTCTCTCCTCCTCGCAGTGCGTGTGTGTGTTTATGTGTGTCGGATTTGCGACTGTGTGAGTGTATCATCGCAAGCTGTAAATGTGAGCAATTGAAAATGTGTTTCAGGCAGAAGTTGTCCTTTTATCTATGCGAAATTAAAGCGAATCGACAAACACATCTACGCTTTGTGTGCGTGCCTGTGTGTTTGTGTGTGCGTGAAATGTAAATGTATGCCAAGGCTTAAGAATCCGTTATACGGAGCCGCGTCATCTCCTTCTTTGTCTGCTGTCTTGCGGCATTTCTCCATCTTTATTTATTTTACGCTTTTTTCTTCCTTCGTCTCGCACTTTTTTTTTTGTTGCGTAGCTCAGGCGCCCAAGAAATGTTTGCAGAATCAAAAAAAAATAACGAGAGGAATAAAATTCTGATGGAAATATAACGTTGGTCACATCGCTCACATTCCACTTAACGGTCATTGACGCTTACTTTCTTTTTGGTCTTTTGAAGGGGAATAGGTTGCATGATGCCTTTTATTTGCTCGGTCGCAGCACGACTTGCATGCAATTAGGCTCTTGTAAGTTTAATCGCCGTGGATGGAATAATTAAGCCAGGCAAACGCCAGCGACATCGTAACCCCTAAAAGTAGGCAAGCTAAATTGTTTCAATTGCTGGCTGTTCAAGTTGGCCCAGGCCAGGGATTATTAACCACTTCTGGCTGACAATTTAGTCATTTTGCTTAATTTAGCTTGTTTCATTGTAAATGATTATGTTTTTAAGAAGTCTTTAATATATATTATGCTAAATGTAACTCATTTTATAGCATTTTTTTGTAACTGCGGAAGTTTTATTTCAATTGACATATGATTTAGGTAATTACCTAAGTTCAAATATTATTTAATTGATTAAATACATATTTACTTAAGTTATAATGTATAAACATACATATATTTTTAAAGGCTACCAATTTTATTGCATTTAGTTTAATTTTAATTTTAAATTTGTTATGAACATTCTCATTCTATAACATTCCATTGGAAAATAATTATGTTTGTCAATTATTTATTTGCTATGAAAACTGATGTTTATTTATTTTAAGAAATTTGCTTAGCTATTATTTTCCTTTCGTAATACAATCAACAGACTTCTAGGCTGAGAAGGGGAACACAGTTAGTATATACTTTTGAAGAGTTTCAACTTTTCAGGGACTTGATCTTTTATAATACACTTCTGAGAGCCACAAATTGATTAACAATAAGCTCTACTTATTTCATTGGCTAAAAACTGGGACAGGCATTACTTATAAATATTTAATCAAAAACTAATCTAAGTTTTAAAAACACACAGAAATGGTGTGTTGTTTCAATAGTTTCGAGAATTCCTCTCTGTTAACATCAAAAACTGAAGTGAATTTTTGACAGGCATGTTGGATAGGTCAACAATTCTGCCAAATTGAAAGACATAAATTAAAAATAATTTACTTTTATTTATTTGAAGCCAAACAAAACGCATTTAAAAAATATAAACGCAACGTGGCAATTTTAAATATAAATGAAACCCCAATTGTTAAATAAAATATCAATAAAACAAATAAAATGAGCAAACGAATCAATTTTCAACAAAAGATCTAACGAAAAACGGATGGCAACAATAGCGAACAAAGGCAAATAAATGCTGAATCCTGTGAAAAGTGAAAGCAATTGAAATTCGCTTGAAAACATGATGAAATGAAATATTTTTCGGTGCAGGATATATGAAAAATCAACAGAACGGTTTCCCCTCAGTATATATATTTATATATGTATATACCAGAAAGTGAGTGCGTGTGCAATTGTGTGAACACCTACAGAAGAAATAATATAAAAAACGAAAAAATAACAAATAAAAAGGAGGAAAAAGGATACGCGAGCTTTTCAAGCACACGGACTTTCGACTGTCCCATCTGACCAAGCCGAAGTTGAGGATTATTTTTGCCATCAGAGAGAACAATAAAACTGCCAGTAGTCATAAAAGCAGCAGTTATATATATACTTGGATCCATGTATATAGATCAGTGACTTTTTTCGAAAGGTAAGTCAAGCAGAAAGGACAACACACAGCACGGTCGTAAGCTTAAGTTGTCAATTTCGCAAAGCTGAGATATGTCGAAAATAAATAATCGTGTCCACTTGCCCTGGGAGATCATCGAATGATTTACCCATCACGAAAATTTGCCCAACGCATTCTGTTTCCTGCTCAGATCAATCACATTGTTTCCTAATTTACCCAGCGTCAACAAAAATAAAATCAATTCAATGAAGATAAATGAGTTCAAAGTGAAAACCGAGACGTCGAGCTTTTCTCTATATATAGACCCAAGGATAATTTCCTAGCTCCGTCCCCACTTTCACTAGCGATTGGCAGCGGTAATAAGCGATTACAATGTCATGAATCTAAATCCAAGTCGCAACAAGGACGTCGCAGTCACGTGCGTTGCGTAAAAGCAGCCGCAGGAGCTCCTTGAGACGCAGGTGTTGCGTCCCCAGGATCCCAAGGAATACGGTTAAGAATAGGACCATCGACTGGCGACGACAACGCACACATCATAAGAGCTTGAGCTTGCTGGTGGGCCATAATTTACCCCGCCACCACAGTGCCTGTCATAAAAAGTTTCAGCTTATTACTCATACGCCCCCACGGCCAGACTCTGATGAGCAAGGAAATCATATTAATCATTCTGCCAATGATTGGGATGATTTCTTCTCCGCTTTCAGCCGTTTCAATTTTTTTATTCTACTGGCTTTTTCATATCGATTTGGTTACTTGGCTATGACAGACACGCACAACAAATACCTGAGTTGCTGCTATTTTTAGTTGGCCCAGCTGTTTGGGCTACCAGTTTTTCCCGACTCGAGGTGAAACAAGGTGGCGGTTTCCGGGGAGTGCATAAATTAACGCAAATAATTATGCAGATTTTTTCCCCTTTTCATTTGGCCGTGTGCAAATAAACGCCGCCAGACGAAGAAAGACGAGCTTGTTTTGAACTTTTGAATATTTTAACGCTACATAATTAGTCGACGGGCAAGGAAACCACTTGAAAATATCTCCCCTTTCCCTTTTATATTGGAGGTGAACATTTGCTGAAGGAACTTTTGAAATTTATTTCCGCGAACTTTGGCTTCATTTTATTTCACCCAAAGGAAATGCTGATGTCTGACCTTTAATTTAAATTCAAACTCTTTAATTTTATAGCCGATACCAGAAGGGCAATTAATTTAAAACTATTTTTTCTTTTTACATGTTTTAATGTAAAATAGTTACTATTGTTGACCAACTTTTTATCTCTAACCGCTTTTTTTTTGTATAATTGCAGATGTTTAAACATTTTTTTTATAAAGTTATCCATAACATTTCTATAATTAAATAGCAAGCTGTTTTATAATTTTAATTATCGGATCTTGTTTGTTTGTCGTTTGCTTATACAATGTTTTACCAAAGTAAATATTTATGGTTTAATCTACTTTTTATAAAACTTTAATTGGTGTTTACCTGTTTTTGATTCGTCATGCTTCATCGGCTTTAGTAAATTTAAACACAATTTTCCAGGATCTTTGCACTTATGACCAGAAGGATTGTGAGACAGCACACGGTGAAATATTATTTGTTAAGAATATTTCACCCTGTGCTATCTCACTTCTGGTTCCTAACATATATTTTCGGTAAACTATAACTTTATTTATTAATATTAAATATTTAAAGTAAATTAAGAAAATATTTTTGCTTTTAAATACTTTCTTATTTCCCCTATGCCACCTGAAGACCCTCAGAAGTTCTTGGCACATTTCCCTTCATCTTTAAAGGGGCAAGACGGAACTTTGTTGCCAGTTCGTCGAGAACGCACAAAGTGCATGCTGTCATTGTTAGTCCTCCCTGGTCGTCGACCATTTGCATGTGTTGCATCTCCTTGTCGCCCGGCACCATCGCTGGTTTTCCCAACTTGCTTGGCATCGCTTGTCTTAACAGCCGGTGAAAATCGCCCAGTCGGTCCTCGAAGGAAGGACAAAAACGCATCGGATCGATGGCCACATAAACTTGGCCCAGATCCGCTGGTGCATTTTCAGTACTATAGAGACCACGTCGTGGTATTTGATTTGCATACCTTGCACCAGTCATCACGCCACACAGAATATCCACCATGGCAGCCAAGCCGAAACCCTTGTGTTCCGGCTGAAAGGCTCGGATTCGTTGAGCCTTCAAAGCCTCCTCCGTGGAGGTGGTCTCCTTGCCATTCCTATCCAAAGCCACTAATTTGGGCACTTCCTTTGACCAGCCATTGCAATAGGATAGTTCTAGTTCCTCCACTGAAAGGGCAGCCATACCAAAATCAGCCAGAAATTGTTCATGGACACCGGAAGCGGCGCAGGCAATTGGATTTTCCCCCAGAATAGGCTCAATTCCTCCTGAAGGCACCAGGGTAGGAGCTCCATTCGTCATACACAGGCCAATCATTCGTTGTTCCAAGGCTTGACAGGCATACCAAGAAGCGAAACCAATGCAATTTGAGCTTCGGGCAGAAACCCAACCGATTCCCACTTCTCTGGCCTTTTGGAGGGCCAGGTCCATGCAAAAATTGGCCACGACGGGTCCAGGAGCATTATGGCCATCTACCAAGCCCATGGCTTTTTTTTCAGAGACGATTTCTGGTTTGGCATTACCCACAACTGTACGATTCAATAGATCAGCTGCAATCGCTGGCAATCGATGGATGCCCATCGAATGCTGCCCCATATAATCGGCGGCTATCAAAGCATCTGCCATTTCACTGGCCGCTTGTTTGGGCACCTTCATGGCAGCGAATACCTGACTAACAAATCTCTGGGCCTCCAATACATCAACCAACTTGCAGGAATCTTTGCTCCTTCTCTCGTCCTCAACCGCACCGGGTTTCTTCTGCCCTCCACACATGAGCAGTACCCTCTTTATATTCTGCCACAGCACCTCTGGCCCAGCTGGTGTCTTTTGAGGGATTTCTGCTTTACATCCGAACCATCGCGTTAGACCTGTTGATCTCCTGATAGTCATTTTCATCGACAATGGCTCGCTCGTCCCTTAAATTAGAGGAGGCTAAGTTTGTTGCATTCTGGTTGGTGTAGACTACGTTTTCCATGGACAATTTAAGCCGCACCTTCCGAAGGGCATCTAAAAAGTTGACCATAAGTCTCATTTTGGAAGAACTGTCTGTATAAGTTATTCAGTTTTAAAAAATATATGTCCCTATAGAGTTTGTTGTATTTTTCTAAGGTATAATGAGTTTTTACAAGCCTGTATTTTGTAAAAGATTAAAAAGTAAGAGTATTAAGTAAAAAATAAGTTAGAGATGGGAGATAGAAAATGTAGAAAATCCGCTGTAATTTTATCAGGTAGATTTACTAAAAGTTACATATTAATGTTTACACTCCTTATTCGTGGTGTTTGAAAATACATTTAACACTTTAAAGAATCCAACAGAAACATTTTGAAATCAACTACCTCCACAGCTAGTTTGCTTTGAAATGCATCATGTTGTTTTCCCTACGGTTAGCTCTTGGCAACAGCTCACATTTCGCAAATGCTGGTGTATATAAAAAGATATATATTTTTTCTCAAATAAATGTACATATCCAAATGAGCTACTTTCGCAGTCACCACTCGCTGTGCGTACTTGAATTGTCAGCCCAGAAACAACGAAATATCAGCAGACAAATAAGCAGGGTAAAGTCAAAAAAAGAGGAATACAAATGCTATGCAAAAAGCTTAAAAAATGCACACAAATTGCACTGGCATAGTTAAGGATGTGTAAAGTAACCTTGAGGCATGCAAACACCATACAGTTACATAAATATATACACAAATACAGATACACTTTGGGGGTAGCAGATGCACATTCAGTGTTCAGGAGATGTGGAAAATGTGCCGGCGACCTTGTTTATTCATGGGGCCGACCAACTCGGTGTTCACATAAAAATAAAACAGCACTCAAATTTAACACTTTCTCCCTTTTTAACATACATATATATAGTATGCAGTATGTAGCTGCTGTTTTAATATGAAAAATAAATATATTATGCTTGCATTTCACATTCACGATAATAAACGACCAATTAGTTTTCATGGCTATTGGTAAAAAAGATGATTGAATTAGTCAACAGTTGGGATCTGAATTTATAATCCAAACAAAAAAGGTTTTATAATGACACATGGACATGGACACTGTAGTTTTTTCCATCACGATTGTATTTCTTTATAAATAAATAATTCATATAACCTTATTTATGGCGCATAGTGAGGCATGCAAAATCACAATCGAAAATGTCTGCTTTAATTTAAAGTTGATTTAAGATGATTATAGGAATGGATGGTTTTATCAGATAAATTATTTATTTCTTTGTTTCGAAACTTATCCATTATTAACAAGTTAGTCTTTTTACTATAAATCGGACTTAAAAAATAATAAGTCTATAATATCTTAAATAGTTAATATTTTAAACAAATTGTGTACAATGGAAATATAATTTAAAAACAAGAAAATCAATGTCATTTAAAGAAAGTAAAAACCAAATATAAATATTTTAAGTTTTTACAATTAACCCATCCTTTAGCTTTCCTCAAAGAACCTCACTAATTCCCCTTTCTCTTATTATCCCATTTTCCAGATCAAAATGAATTCCAATCATCTGTCAGCTTGTCTCGTCATCCCAGCCCATCAGCACAGATAGTCTAAATGACCAGAAAGAAAACACGTCAATCCAGAGTCACATCGAAATAGGTGAAGACAGTTAGACAATAGCTGCTCGGTCAGGTCGCACAACTTGAAGAACTACTGTGCCAGGATGGGGGAAAGTCAGCTGCTGCTTTTACTGCGGCTCCTGCTGCTACCGACAGTCCTTATTGGCTGGATGAACTGCGCTGAGGCCTCCACGGCGGACATCTACAAGGGCGCCCGTTTGGGTCACCGCATCGTCCAAACGCGCTATGGCCGACTACATGGACTCATCCTGCCGTTGGACAGCTTTCGCTTCCTGCGATCCGTGGAGGTCTTTCTTCGGTGTGCCATATGCAACGCCACCCACCAAACAAAATCGGTAAGTTGGTCTACAGAAAAGTGAATAGAACAACTATAAATATTATAACAAGAAAAGTATCTTTCAAAAATAATTTTAAATTTCCGAGCCAGTTTTTATAAGTTTATACTTTTGTGTGTGTCCATTTTCCCCCTTATCTACTTTTAATTTCCATTCATTATTAACATTTTACTTTTATATTTACACCAACGGCCTTCTCTGCCCATACATAATTCATAAGCTTAAAGTAAAGTTTAATTTGTATTATCTAGGTTTAGTCCCACGAGGGCACCGGCGCCTTGGGACGGCATCCGGATATCGGATAAATACAGTCCCGTGTGTCCGCAGCGATTGCCCAACATTCAAAATGAGACGGCGGCCCTGGAGAAGATGCCCAAGGGTCGCTTAGAGTACTTGAAGAGGCTGCTACCTTTTCTAGAGAACCAATCCGAGGATTGTCTCTACCTTAATGTCTTCTCCCCAGTTAATGGTAAGTACAGAGATGATAAATAAACTTTAAGAATCCCCAGCAAATGGCCAGGCAAAATTTAAGAACACCAAAAGGCTGGACATAAATCTCATTTAAATTCAATTAATTAAGATTAATCGTACGCCACGTAATGCCAATAATTTCTACGCAAAAGAAAACCGAGAGAGCTCACGTAACCACTGCGCAAATCTTATCGCAAGTGCCACCCCACTAAGCTCACAATCCCGAAGCGACCAGGCAAGCCGGATCCGGGGGAATCGCTAATCTGAAGCGATTCCTTCGTCGAAGTGCTGGCAAAATCCGCTTTGCACGCAAACGGAAACGTTTAATGGGTCATGAGCGCTCTCGGGCACTTGGCGGTGTGTTGAAAGGGAAAAACGCGATATCACACAGGTTACAAGTGAAAAAAAAATGAAATACAACTAATATATGTTTGTATCTTGACTACAACGACTGATATACTAACACACAGTTTTGTTCAATTTTTTTACTGTTTCTGTTTTTTTTTTGTTAGCTGGAGCCAATGAGAAGAAATTGCCGGTGATTGTGTTCATACACGGCGAATCCTTCGAGTGGAGTAGCGGAAATCCTTACGATGGCAGTGTCCTCGCCAGCTACGGAGAAGTGGTAGTGGTGACACTCAACTACAGGCTGGGAATATTGGGTAATGGAATATTATATAATATTATTAACAAATGGTATATAATATAAATATTTCTATCCGTTGATGTTAAAGAAGAAGATTTATTTTAAAAATATTAAAAATTAAATTATCATTTGACAGGTTTCCTTAATGCCAATCCCAACCCCCACGCCCATGCCAGGGTGGCCAACTATGGACTGATGGATCAGATGGCCGCTCTCCATTGGATCCAACAGAATATCCAAAAGTTTGGAGGAGATCCCAACTCAGTGACGCTAGCGGGACATGGAACAGGAGCTGCTTGCATTAATTACCTAATGACTTCGCCCACAATGGTCCGCGGTCTGTTCCATCGTGCCATCCTAATGTCCGGTTCTGCTTATTCATCCTGGGCCTTGGTTGAGGATCCTGTGTTGTTTGCCATTAAGTTGGCCAAGGAGGTTAATTGTACGATTCCCGACGATATAAATCGGCATCACGAGCAGATTGTCGACTGTCTGAGGGAGGTGCTGCTGGAGGACCTGTACACTGCTGACATTCAGGCTCCCAACTTTCTAACATCCTTTGGGCCTTCGGTGAGTTTGAAATTAATACCATATAACTTTAAATTTAAAAGAAAATGCGAGCAAATTTAAAGGCATCTTTGAAAATCTTTAGCCATCGCAGGACTCATTTAAAGCCATTGATTTGGCTTTTTGTGGCACTTGGTCCTTTTGTTCGGTTCTCGCTTCAATGGACTTTATTACTTACTTACGCCCTCCGCTCCTTGAGCTTGGACCACTACTCCTGTCATTTACTTGCGATTTCCCTCTTTCTCCTTCCTCGATTTCAATTTAGGTTGATGGCGTTGTCATACGACCCGGACATTCCAATCTCGATATCGATGATTTAATGGCGCGCAACTCGAGGCGTTCGTCAGCGGACTCCGGATTCCAATCGTCCGCCGGAGGTGGTGGTGGCGGACCAGGAGGCGGACCCGGTGGCGGTGGCTCCGGTTCATCGTTTGGCGGTGGATATTTTGGTGGCGGCGGTGGGGCAGGAACGGCAAACATGGGCGGTCACTATGACGTCCTGTTTGGCGTCGTTACGGGCGAATCGATTTGGCGCTTCAGTGCCCACGATATACAAAATGGTTTCGAGGGCGAGAGACGCGATAAAATTATCCGCACCTACGTTCGCAATGCCTACAATTATCACCTCAACGAGATATTCTATACGGTGAGTAAATTTATAACTTATATACATAGTCTGCAATTGGGGCCATAAATCTTGTCCAATAGATATATATTTCCCCTTCACTAATGACTTTATGTGGTCTGGTAGTCTGCCATCAGTTTAAGCTTAATTATTGCCTTTATCTTGGAGTTTACTTTTTAACTTAAAAAGTTTTCGCTTCGAAAACTTTATAGACAGTTGGCGGATGAAAGAAATATGTTTCGTTCTAGTGACTCATCTATTTTTCTTGGCATTTCTTTTCGCTTTGAATTTTGTATGCAAATTGAGCATTGACTAGACTTATGGATGCTTATGCAAATATAATTCCATTTGCCCTTTTTTCTGAAAAATGGTTCAAAAAGTTTATTCACTTGCTTATATATTTATGATAAATGGCTGTCTTCATGACTTCCTTTCTTATTAAATGCATTTAAAACAAGATAAAAAGTGATCCCTTTGATGCATATATTGTCTCTGTTCTACCCTTTAAAACCTAACTAAGATTTGACCTATAATTTTTTGTAACCTTCCTTTAAGTGCTCTTCAATTCTAATCCATTAAAATGATTAAAAGCCCCCGTTTTTTTCGAGGCGGTAGGAAAGTTCATATTTTCTCTAGGGTAATTGGCTGAAAGCAAACACTTCTAGAGCCAAAGCTTAAATAGCAACAACGATTGCAGCTGGAAAAAAGTCATTTAAAATGTTGGTACTCTGTTTAAGTGTGTGCGAGTGTAATTATAATTTCGCATTGCGTATGGGTACATTTCGCCACTCAAACAGATACACAGTGTGTATGCATATATACTGTGTAAATGTCTGTTTCATGTTTTAAGGGCATTTGCAACTTTTAAGGATATTTCGTTTTTTTTTTTTTGTTCGTTTTGTTTGGGGTACATTGCTTGGCTGTTGTATATATTTATTTTATGCTCTCTTGCTGGCTTTTTGTTTTTATTTTTGTTTTGTGCAAGCGAGCGAAATGGAAGGCAGTTAACACGCCATTGCTGCCAAAACATTAACACGCTTTATTTGGCAAATGTGTGCAAGGACATAGGCACACACACCCTTACACCCACATACTTCTATATATGTACATGCATATATATAAATACAGACACACATGTACCAACTTAAAAGCGCACAAGCAGCACTTAACCCAAATCACAGCAAACAGCAGCGGAGAAAGCATCCAACGACAACCGTCACCAGTCGACGTCTGAAACTGGAACTGAATCTGAATCTGAATCCGTAGCTGTATCTGTATCTGTATCTGTATCTGTATCTGAATCCGTAGTTGTATCTGTATCTGAACCTCAGCCTCGGTCACCATTCGCCGCATTAACACACACGCACTGTGAATGGGATGCACATATACATTTATCAAGAAGTCGTAAATTGCCGGGGCATATATCACGATTATAGCGCTTAAGTCCTTATTTATTTTACTTCATTATACTTTTGTATAACCGCAGCCCAAGCCCCGCTTTTTATACTTCATAAAGTTCAATTTATATAGGTCACAGTTCAGAGGCATGACTAGCACTGGCATCTGAGAGCTTTCAATCGTCAACCACAAGCTAATCATGACTAATCAAATGCTTTTAATAATGAAAAAAGGTAAAGAAAAACTTAAAAAAGGAAACAAACTTCCTACTAAAAACCAAAAAAATCAATGATTTAACCCGAAAATATATATGCAGAGCCTGGGTAGTCGAATAACCATGTAAATGTATTCCACACACAATTTTTAGAATCTGTTTCTGATCCATTTTTTTCAGTTTGTTTGTTTCCTTCTTTTATGATAGGGTTTCTAAATTATGCATGACATCGATTTTACAGATGCATTTTGCGGTCGTTTATTTTTCGCACACATGCTGGGTAGAAATAATCATTGTGGTGGTAACAAGTCCTCCTGCTTCTGCGCCGCCTGCTTCGTCCTGCGGTGGCGAATGGCCACCGCAAACAAGGACAACAAACAGTTGCAATCCGCTTGTAATCCAGCCAGGATTTGACTTGGCACACATGCAGCCAATGCAAATCTAAAATTCCCCTCGCTCTTTCACACTACGCAAAACGAAAAGAAAGAAAAAATCATCGTTGCATTTGAAAATTTGTTAATTTATCAAAAATGTGAAATCAATCCATTCGATTCGTAAATCTGTAGAGTTTAAATATTTTAAATACCTAGGTAGGTAGTTTAAACCTTTGAAATGATAAGACATCATTTCGATTTATTTTAATATGTCTACTATATCCCGTCCTACAGATCTAATAAGAATATGCAAATCATTCTTACTATATATATGGGAAAATGTTTAAAATATTTTTAAGTTTAGCTACCCATATTTTTTAAAGTGTACTAACTTTATTTGCGGACGAAATCTAAAATGGAAATCCATCTACTCCCCCCAGATCGTCAACGAGTACACGGATTGGGATCGCACCTCGCAGCATCCGATCAATACACGGGACACGGCAGTGGCCGCTCTGTCTGATGCCCAGTTTGTGGCACCGATTGTCCGAGCTGGCGATATCCTGGCAGCCAATTCCCCACCACCGGTTAGCTCATCCTCGCCAACTGCCTCGGCAGGTGGAAATGCAGCTGCCTCGACCTCTGCGGGCTCAACGCAACCCTCCGGTCGCTGCTATTTCTATGTGTTCGATTACCAGACAAAGGACGGTGACTACCCCCAAAGGATGGGCACTGTGCATGGCGAGGATTTGCCCTATATTTTCGGTGCCCCACTGGTCGACGGCTTTAGTCACTTTCCACAAAACTATACCAAATCGGAGACGGCTCTTTCCGAGGCGGTGATGATTTTCTGGACGAACTTTGCACGCACCGGGTAAGTTGTGGGAGCTTTGGACGCCTAAAAGTGTTCCTGAGCAGTCTTAGGACACCTGCTGTCCGTTCACTACTTTTAAGTCCCACTTAAACGTCTTACTAACTTATGCACTGAGGGAAAAGGTTGGCTACAAAATCAAGAACAACAAGAGATACTTTGAGATGGCCTCTAAAGGTTTGTTGCAATATTCGGTGGCTGAATTTAAAGTTTGTGTTTAGTCAAACACTTGAGGAAATTTTGTTAAATCTATAATAAGATTTTTTCAACAACTTTATTATGTTTAAAAATGATAAGAAATGCATAATATTCATTACAAATTTCTCATTGATTTCCTAACAGTGCAATTTCTGAACATTTTCTTTCCATTTCCAGCAATCCGAATGAACATCATCGCCAGGACTCGTCACTACCAGTTTCAAAGGAACGCAACCGCTTCCGCAGCATCACTTGGGAAAATTATGATCCGCTGCACCAAAAGTATTTGGAAATAGGTGAGTCAGACGGCAACTTTTCCTTTCCACCCACTTCGTGTGCATTTTCCTTATTTTTGTGTGAATGCTTCAAACGGAAATCTTTTCGTAAGCTTCTAACGAAATGGTTGTTTTCTTGTTTGTTTGTTTGTTTTTTGGAATGGAAGTGGAAAAACTATTTAAAAGTTTAATACCTTTGAAGAACTTTTTTAGTTGCATTTCCCATTTTCAATAAGGCGATATTCTTAAATGGAATTTCTCTTGCTTGTTAATATGCAAGTAGCTTGAGCTACAAAACCATTTCTTATAATTTGTTCACCCTCCAATAAGCGTCTGCAAAATGTTGTATGGCTACTTTGGCATGCAGTAAAAAGAATTCATGGAATTCATGCCAAATAAGAGCTACAAATTTACAAAAAAAAATCTGAAAGAACAACCTAAGCACACACCAGCCAGCTGAAAAAAGTGGAGGAGAATCAAATTTAATTTGAATTTTAAAGAAGGCAGCGCCCGGACATGCTTTGCTTGCTAACAACAACAAATTCGACAAGGGGCTAAAAAAAACCGAGGGAGTTAATACACACACACACACACACAAGTACTTCAGTGAAATGTAAGTGGGGAAAAAACAGCATCTCACCGGTATATTGAAGCAACAGAACCTGTGCCACCAGGTAGATGAAGGGCAATCAAAACGCCCAGAGATTGTCGAAACATTACCTGCAAAGTGAGGGGTTGAAAGGTGATGAACTCTTGCTGGACTGAATGGTGGTGTGAGGGGAGTGCTAAGGGGGTGGCAGCGCGTAAAGCTTTATGTGTGTGTGTTAGAATGGCACCGTTGCTTCATGTCAAATGTACGAAAATGTTATTAATTTCAAATTTTTCACACCTTTTGTGCGTGAGCACGACAGGAGCCCGGTGAAAAATGCATGGGCGATAGGAATTTTCGTATACCCTCAAGTGTGTGAAAATGTTCTACTTTTTATTTAAAACCTTTGAAAATTTTGGTCATGTTGAGTTGTAACTCTACATTTAATGTCACTTACTAAATGAACTAATACAAAAATTATTAAATGTTTAATTTCTACAAAAAATACAAGCCCGACTAGACTCTTTTAAGCTTTTGCTCAAAATCAATATTCCCACTTGACACACAAATAAGCTAAGAGCACCCCAGCACCCACCTTTGAAAAGATAGCGACAGATATATGCGCTTAACGCTTTATGAAAATTACGCACAGGTTATGGCAATGGATTTGCCTTACATTGTGCGCAGGAGAATGGCTTTTTTATATATTTTTAGTGAGCTAAGAGCAAGAGGTACAAAAGGAACACGAGCCAAGAGTAGGAGGTGAGTGAATCCTGCCAACACGCACTTTACGCACATGTAAGCATTGAAGGACGATACGTCGTATCAAAAGATATGTCTGCTTGCATATAGGACGTTCGCCTTCTTCACTCTATATAGGATTCTTTTTTGTATTTTTTGCCTGATTTTAATTGAAACGACACACGGCGACAGCTGACACTCTATACTTGTACAGTACCGCCCACATCCTTCAACCTGCGACGCCTGCACTTTACATAAGCAAGTTGAAAGGATTCCGCCGTGGAGTGGCGGACACAGTTTTCATTTGATACGCCAGGAAACTGAAATCGAAATCAAATAATGTTTGTTGGGGAGCGCGCACAAAAGGATCTCCCGCACACAAAGGCACCACCTGTCATACATATGCACCAAATATATCTATATACAGATATATATATATAAAGATCCAACTATAAGCATATCTTATGTAAATGCCTGTTGGTGTGAAAGTTCTGTTGCGTAAATTATGCATGCAATATTTATAAGGATTTTCGATTTTGGATTTGCACTTGCGATTGATTTCTTATGAATGGCCCCCATGTGGGCGAAGTACTAAGAGTTCAAAGGTGCATGGAAAGCTTTCTGAATATTTCAGAGTGATTCTTGGTACTTTTCAGATATTTATAAATACGTGCAGATATGGAGGAGTTGGGAGTATTCACCTGTTTACCCTCGAAAGAAGTAGGCTACGAGACTCAACTTTCTTTTTTTTTTGTGGCTCAGCTCTTCAAAGGAGTTGGCTATACTTGGTTACAATAAGAGAAATACTTTGAAAATGTTTTTTTCCTTATTCTTAAATAAAATTTAAGAATTATTATTTAATTAGATTGATCTGATCAGATCAAATTGATATCTGATTCTGAAATTAAAAAGAAAATCTAGTAAAACTTTGTATCCTTTTTTCACCTTACCAAGCTTCCCATACTGTCAACAACATAAAATTATTCTTTTTCTTGAGCGTAGAAAATTTTCCTCGTAGTGCAGAAGGTAGTCTCTTGGAAGGAATAGCTGGGGGCATCAAAAATTAAACAGTTATGTCGCTTTCACCCCGCCAAAGTAAACAAGACATCAGGTCTGGCCAAATGAGGGTGGAGTTCTGAAAACCGAGAATGAAGGAGGTCTGGCCCCAATTGAGCCAAGTGTCTGTCGCTCACCTTTTTGGCATGCAAATGACTCGAAAGTGGCCCAAAAGCAGAGGCAACGGCCAAATGGAATAGTTTAGCATTAGAGCTATTTGCATGCATGTTGTTTCGTGTGGGGATGAGTAGGAGCGTGTGTTTTTGGTATCTGTCACATGGAAATGAAAATGAAGATGTTTACACTGGTCCGCCCCCTTTTTGTTTTCCGGCTTGGCTGCCTGACGTACCGGATGCCTGAAGCAAAACACACACACTTCAACTTACCGAAATACTCTTTAAATTCCAGGAATGAAGCCGCGCATTAAGAATCACTTTCGGGCCCATCAACTCTCGATTTGGTTGCGCTTGATACCGGAGCTCCATCGCGCCGGGATGGAGGATGTGATAGCCCGGCACAATCTGTTCCGCAATCACGACGATATGGACCTGTACGAGGGACCCGTTAAACCGGATCCGTTTGGCATATCCTCAGCAGCCGGAGCAACTGGCTCCTCATCTTCATCCTCGTCGTCGTCATCATCGCGCCTCCTCCTCATCGATGAGCAATTGATGATGAAGAAGGGACGCGGACTGAATGCCTCGGCCTATTTGAACGGCATATTGGGTGGTAAGTAGCCACCCCTCTCAGAGAAAAACAAACACAGACATGGATTCGCTGTGGCTTGTCAATGTCACTTAAATACCTAAAACACAACAACAAATAAGCCGGCACAAAACGGCAAACCGAGCCCAAAGGAATAACGCCTATCGCCTTTGTAGATTGTATTTCGGTTTCGTCCCTTTTGAGGCCCTTTTGCACAGTCTGCAGTTGTCGTTTAATACGGTTGACAAAGGCCAGGCCAAAAAGGACACTTGACTGGCCTTTGGGCTTGACTTATTTAATTGCAAATTCTGCGTAAGTCTGACAAATTGGTATAAGGGTGAAAACTCCTTGAGATTTATGCTTTAACAGTTTGTTACTCTCTTTGAGTTTGATTAATTTTTATGGTAAGCAACTCAATAGGTAAACTTTACAATTTCCCTTTTTACACTTAAAAGGTGTAATAGTTCCTACTTTTCATAAATATTACTTATACGCCCTGTAAGCAAGCAACCTTAATTAAAAATTCATAATATACATGCAGGCTCATAGTATTTTTATATGGAACCCACACTTTTTATCAAAATGAAAATTTATTCGTATTTGCCAATATTACTCATACGCCATGGTATCAATCTAGTTTGATTAGAAAAATAAAAGTGGAAATAATTTATTCCTTTTTGCATGATTTGATTTATTCAAGGAAAATATGAGCGTTTTTGCTTTTTAATAAACATTTATTAATTTTTAAAATAAGTCACTTTTAGGCTTAGACCTCATTTTTCCCAACCATTCAACTTTCTGACCAATATTACCCATACGTCACGTATGTCCACGTATGATCAAGCTTATCTAGATCCAAAGTCAAACATTTAAGATGAGACCACAAGTTCATACGCACATGTGCGCATTTGTTTAATAACTCGCCGGCAAGTGATATATATTCCACAATGCCATGTGGGGTTCCTCTCAAATAAAACGAAATTCAAAGGAGAAAACTCGTTCTATTTATTTGGCTTCTCTTTTTTTTTTTTTTTTTATTTTTTATAAAGGTTTGTTTGTTGGAGAGTGAGTTGAAAATCAACACTTTCGGCAGCAAAGATTTCTGTTTACTCTTGACGTTGGCCTCGGCCTAGTCAGTGTTTACTTCACTTTGTGGTCTCGCAGCAAGTTAAATTGCAAAGTTGGCATTTCTGTTTGGAGGGAACGAGGCTTAGACCTCATCTCAGCCCCATTCTGATGCCATTCTGTCCCTGGCATGACATTTCCATTTGACCCAGCCCCGAACTTGGACCTCCAGCTGGGGCTCGGGTTATTGAAATTGCGTCCGGCCCGGGGATGCTAGGGTTTGGCTTTTGAATTTATATTGTGTCGAGTGCTGACTTTTGGAAATGCACTCAACTGTAATCTCTATAAGGATTAAGTGTGTGTAACCTTTTTTCAAACCTCCCCTTTTATTTCCCCTCTCTGCCAAAACCCCCCTTGGCTGTCTGTCTCCGGCATAAATTTCTCGTTTACATTCTCACTGCGAACGAGGATGGGGGTCTTTTTGGATGAAAAGAGTGGGTCTTGTGTCTAAGATGCCACAAATGTAAATAGCGCATAATTTTAATGCACTTGCCCCATTCCGTATCGCCTTCTATTCTGGCCCTCTCCGTTCCGCAGATGGGGAAGTCATTAAACCAGTTTATGTAAAACTCGTTGGCGGAAACTTTTTCAACACTTACTCTAAATTAACAGCAAACTTTGCTGCTTGTTTTTTCCTCGTTTTCTTTATGTTTTTGCTATTTTTAATAAACTGTCCCTGCAACTGGGGGAAACTGCAAGTGCAGCTGCTTTTATTCGAGAAAAAAATAACGGGGACTAAGCGGGAAATCCAACTCAAACATCAAATGCTTATATGTGGGTGGGGGTGCAGTCACAGTGCCTTGTGGGCGTGGCCTTGTTTCAAACCATAGCAACGGCTTCAACTTACTTCCCACCGACACTGGCTTATCTCAAAGTCAAAACTAAGACAGTCAATTTCAGGCAAAACTTTCAACTTTCCCCTAGCTAAGCTACTACAACTACTACTTCTACTATTAAATGCCACCCCAACCTCCGTTTCTAATAACCCGCCTTTTGCCAAGTTGGCCAATGCAAAATGCATTAGCTTATGCGGGAAAGGGGAGTGGACTTAAACGTGGGCGTGGCGCAGTCGCCTGGCAAAGTCGGGTAAATTAAAAATTATTGAAATGTTGACTTTGGCCAAACGAGAGAGATGCGGGGAGAACACGCAGCGCTTTTATTATATAGATTAAATGGATGATACACATTGTTCACACTGAAACTGCAATTCAAATTAAATTCGTTGAATTTTAAAATCAATATGAGCGGAAATTGAATGATGATAGCTTAGTTTTTAATTCAATAAAACTAAAATCATGTTATTAGGATTTTATAATAGAACTGAAACGGAATTTAAGGCCTAATGTTGAAGGAAAAAATTCAAGATTCAGTATTGCAAATCAAAACGGAAAATATTTTTATTACCATCTTTTAATCAGATAATTCAGATCAGATATAAACTCAGATTCGATTTCTATTTTTAAAAATATTTCAAAATTTATATAATTTAATATTTATATAAATAGTTTCCCAGATTTTTCCAATGTGCACCCTAAATCTTGATAGGAAGCAAGCTGCGTTTAAATTTAATCTCCACTATTCGGTTTTTGGCAGACAAACAACTAATCTGTGACCCAAACAAACAAGCAAACTGCCCAAATGGGTGGGTGGAGGTCAAAGGGCGACTTGTGGTGGCTAATGTAGAATGCTGATGAGAGAGTGTTTGGACCACAGACAACAAATGTTCATTTCAATTAGTGCAGGTCCCAGAAAATGCTGCAAAACTAAATCCGGTCATCAAAACAAACTAAAAAATACGCAAAAAAAAAAAAAACAGAGGTGGAGATGGTAGAAACCGAACTGCGGTAGATAAAAGCAAACTGGAGAGGGCAAACAGTGGAAATAGAAGATGATAAAATGCCTGAAATGCGACAAACAGCTGTCAGGTTGACAGCCGACGACGACGCAGTCAGGCCACAGAAAAACACCCAACACTAGCTGGGAAAAGTGGGTGAGTAAAATGTGGGAAAATCACAGGAGATTGGAGAAGAGCCACCAAAAAAGCTCAGACTCGCTGCCAGGCAGCGACCGAAGAGTCACAGTGTCATATGGACTCGACATACTTTGACATGCTTTTCATTTAAGCGTTGACTTTGCCAACTGTGCCGCCTTGTCTTTCTTGCCGTTCTCCAGGCATCCTCCGATTTTCCTCTGTCATCGCTGGCGTCGTCACCTCAGCCTTTGGTTATACAACTTGGCCCGAAAACGGGCGACAGAGATATCCAGCTGCAAGCCAACAAAAATCCACAAGCAAAACGAGAGCCTTCGCCGTAAACAAAGCAGCAACCGCAACAAAATAGAAATCGAAAGACGGGCAAAAAAGAATGAAGGAAAAACAATACGGATAACAAGTTTCCTGCAAGAAGTTTAAATCTGGATTTCAAAGTGTTTAAGTACTTGGAAATTTTCTGTTTTCCATGGTTATGGTTTTTTGCCAAGGGAGGTGACTTTGAACCTGATTTTGAAATATTGTACTTAAATATTCAACCGTTTGGTTTTTAAAGCTATAAAATGCGCAATATTTATAAATGCCTTTGAAAACTCAATTGACTTTTTTATAAAAACCAACAAAAGTTTGATCCGCATTAAAATTTATAATAAAAAAAAGTGACATGTACAAGTTAAATTAAAGGAAATGAATACATTAACTACTTTAAATCGTTAACGTTAATAATAATATTTTGATAAACTAGCAATATCCAATTAACATATGTTCCGTTTTTTAATGATAATTCTCCAATAATATATTTAAATTACTAAAGCTCTTAGCTTATTCCTTAACAATAACATTTTTGTTTTGTTACAAACATTTTCACCTTCGTATAGTTAAGTACATTCAAATCTAAGAATGGTTTAACCTAAGCTTATACATATACAAATCCCCTCACATTAATTACGGCTGCTTTAAGAGATTCCCAGTTTTAGCCCAGCTATTCCTCCTAAACTCATTTTCAATCCCACTGAGTATGCTTTCAATGCCGTTTATCCCATCATCAAGTTGCCTGCGTCTTTGCTGCTTTTGGTACCAGTTTTCCAGAACAAAAAAATGGAAAAACAACAAACAAACAAGCCAAATCCTTCAGCACATACACCCACACACACACAAAATTCAACTCTGTGCTACTTTGCCTGACCTGGATTTCATCGAAAAATGGAAATAGAAAAGGTAAAAACCAGGCAGAACCCGGGCTCACCTGAATTATTTGGCAAAAAGATGGAGATAAAGCAACATGTGGAACCAGACTTAGCCAAAGAAAAGCCTACTGCGAATTTCCTTAGACATTTTGGCCTCAGATCATTTGCATAATTCCTGCGATTCGTTTTTCTGGGGAAGCAGGGCTGATTAAGCTGGGAAATGTCAAACTATCAGTGAAAATTGAAATGGTTTACTTAATAAATGCCAGAGTGTCCTTCGCAGGATGGCAGCCTCAGCTGATGCCGTTGGCCCGGCTAATATCTAATTTATGCAAGGACATTTCGGTCTCAGCCTCAGATATATTTTTCGCTTTCGTGGCACAAAAAGTAGCAAGGGCTTTCGGTTTGATTTTATGGCTTGGGGTTGCTCTACTTCTTATTATTTTCAGTACTTTTTTCCTCTCTTCTTTTTTCTTGTGATCCCACTAATTAAAGCCACATTAAGCATTGCTTTTGGCCTCCCCCCTTGCCTTTTCGGTTATCTGTCTGCCTCAAGCTGGGGCCATGTGTCCTCGTAACATAATTATCTGGGGTCCTTGAACGCATGCGGCCCTTGGTAAAGCTAAATGGAAATGGGAATAAAAATGAAAATGAAAATAAAAATAAAAAGGAATTAAAAATAAGATGGAAAATGGGGAAAATTCCAATTCCTGCTGCACACCAACTGAAAAGTATTTGTACTTGCAAAATTAAATGCAAAATGGGGCGGAATGATAAAGAGCTTAGTGGCCAGGGTCGAATCTGTTGATAGGGGGATCAGAATTTATCTGGTTATGCAATTTAGCAAAAGGGTTGTCCCCTCACACACACCTATACACCCACACATATATATTGAGATGAAAAAGAGAGAAAAAAAGGGTCTGAAGTATTTTCCTGAGTGAACTCAAGTGACAGGTTGAGAGTTTTTGAGCCTGAGAGCCTAAGAGCGGCCGCCGTTGCCATCTTGATTGATTGACAAAGTTGGTGAGAAATTATTATGTATATAGATAGGGGCTAATTCCAAATTGGATTCACCCTAACACGCCCACAAAACAACAACGACAACAACAGCAAAAGAAAAACAAAAATGAAAGCTGTGAGAAAAGAGCTCACCTGATGCTTTTCCAACCAAACAATCTTGAGTAAATTAAATGCCACACTTGAATGCAAATTGGAAAAGCTCTCAGACAAAGCAGCAAGTGGTTGAACTGGCAGCTGCAAATCTTCACACGATTATTGACACCCAATTGTGGATGGCATATTGCGCACTCCTATTCCCCCGATTCCCGATTATTATAAGAGATTTATTTGGAAAATATTTATGCAAAATACGTGCACAAGTCTTTAATCTTGTGAACGAAAGGAAAGAAACTTGGCGAAATTGTTTGATATGCAGAAAATTGAAAGGCAAAACTTTACAGACAAAGAGCACAGACACACGGCACTCATTTACCCACACACCCAAACACACATACACTCACACACTTGATACAAAACAATGCCAAGTGTAGGAAGCACTTGAGGGGACTGGAGAACAATGCCAGGACACTTACAGTACAATGACAAATACATTTTCAAGGGGAGCGTACGGATGGCCAGGGCTTCAAAGCCAGCCAACGCTCCAAAACCCATTTGTTTTCACAGACATTTGCGCTTCCAACTCCTTCAGTCGTTTTCAAATACCTTAGCAAATACAATGGTGGCCAAGTGGAGCGCGAAATATTCCTGCGCTCGCTCATAGGAAATGGAAATAATTCTGTATTCTGGACATTTCCAGACAATGGATCCATCGTCGGGAGAATTGCGGAACAAAGGGCTCTAAGCCAGGCTAATCCGTAGGCAATCAGCGTACATAACTTGACCAAATATTGAACAACTTTTGGGTACAAACAAAATAGATTTTCTTGAATATTGATTCCGAGAAGTGGGTTGAAATATATGTGTTTTATGGTATGGTATACATATGGTAAACATTCTATCACTTTTTAAATTGACATTAAAATAACCATCTTTTTTTTAAATAATTTTATGAAATCATTTTAGAGACAGCTATTGTCTACTACTCACATCTAAACAGAAAGATGCATTCTTTTTGGCAAAAATAAAGCTTTAATTATTATAATTTTATCTTATTTAACTTTTAATTAAATCATAAAACAAAAATAGTAAACATTTTAACCACATTATAATATCAAATTAATATAAACCTAGATTATACCACGACTACATCGACTTCTTTTGTTCTTTGTTGCAATTTGATTCCTCTTGTATGGCTATAGATTTTATTAATAGTATACAAAGTAACCTGAAACTATGTAGAAACCAATTAAAACACAAGGATTACACAATAGCTGCAGGCGAAGGATTCCTTTTGTTAGGTGCTAAACGAATTATGTTGTATTTAATTAAATGGCAATATTGAACAGCTGGCCATTTGCCCTGAGAAATATAAGCTTTTGCATTAAATTGTGTCACAATATACGAAACCGAAAACAATCTTCTGTCCCCGATCAACCATTCGCTTCCCTCATATGAATAATTTTGCCAGCGGGCATTACTCATACGACGTGTCGACCCTCCCTTTCACAGCGAGTAAAATGAACTACAGGTAGTCCAAGAAGATTAATATGCAACTTGTTCCCTTTTGTCCCTCCTTTACAGTTACCACCGTTGAGCCAAACAACATGTATACGACCTGTATACCCATCGGAGGAAATTACTCGGGCGGCGGAGGTGTCTTTGCACCAACCACTCTGGCTAACGCCTCCTCGGACACTTTGGCCTCTGGTTTCGAGGCGGCTGGTTATGCGGCCTATTCGACGGCCCTCAGTGTAACCATTGCCATTGGCTGCAGCCTGTTGATACTCAATGTACTGATTTTCGCCGGAGTCTACTATCAGCGGGATAAGACGCGTTTGGAAGTGAAGACCCTGCAGAAGCAATACCAACAGCGAAGTCTGCACCAGCAGGTGCCCTATCCACCGGAACCCATTAAGCACGCCCACTACCACATGGGTCATTCGCAGAGCTCGGCCAATGTCATCGTGGACGTGGAGAGCCATCAGGATCAGGCCGGTCAGGCGGCCATGCTGCTCCAAGCCGCAGCCGCCGCCGCAGCAGCAGCGGCCAATGATGTGAAGCCACCGCCACCGCACATCTGCTCAAATACAGGTAGGTTTGACGTTGATTTAGGGAGAAAGGAAATTACACCTTCCCAGAGAAAATCACTCCTTCCATTTGCTATTCTTATAATTTCCTTGTTAGCCATATGTGGTTAAGGCTTGAGGTTTTGCAAATATACATTATACTTTCATTGTAAACCACAAGAAAAATATTCTTCTTCTAAATTTGAAGAATATTTACTGTCATTAACAAATCAAAAAAATATATATGAAATGGCTTAAATTTGCAACGAAGTCTTGTATTTAAAGCTAAAATTATTATCCCTTAACTTGCCTATTGAGCTCATTAAAGTCCTTCCTTGAATTTTCCATTTTCCAACAGGTATGCAGCAACAGCAGCAGGTGGGCGGTGGCAGTGGCGGGGCCCTTAATAACGGTGGTATGGAGGGTTCAAAGGTGACCACAGACAACCTAGGCAACGTCACATACAGCACCAGCTCGAAGCAGCAGCAGCAACATCAACAGCAACAGCAGCAGCAGCGTGAGCACATGCAAATCAAGGGAATGACCGGCACGCAAACCTTTGGACGAAGTGGCTCTGGATCAGGAGGCGGGGCTGGAGGTGGAGGAGGTTCTGGATCCGGTGGCGCCTCCGTGGTGGTCTCCGGCAGCAGTGTTACCTACAATCCGGGAATGATGACGCTGCCCAAGTCGAGTGGACTCCATCACGCAGCCACTTTGAATTATGCGCGAAATACGGCCGCCTTGAATTTGTCGGGCGGAGGAACCGCCCTTGTGGATAGTCGAGGCAATGTCCTGCTCACCAGCACAGCAGTGGGTCCTGGAATGGTTGGAGGAGGTGGTGGTATTTCTGGAGGCGGCGGAGGAGGATCCACCGGTGGCGGAGGCGGTGATTGCATGACTCTGCCACGAAATCTAAGTCTGGCGGCCGCAGGACGACACAATCCCACGACAGGTGAGTCCCAGATAAAATATAAAAATAAAGTAAGATACAAAAGGAAACGACGCGAAACTTGAAGACGCAACAGCCAAAGGATATGCAATTGAATTGGGTTTTCAGCTTGCCAAAGTTGCAAGTTTGTTTCCGGAGCTCCTGCAGCTGTAAAGGCAACAATATTGCGGCAAGGCAGCAATCAAGCTGAAATGTGATAAGATTTCATTTCATTATGAAGTGCTTGTTTCTTTCCCCTTCGCTCGTATCTCGTATCTGCTGTACCTTTTGTGCCTTGTATCTTGTATCTGACAGCTCGATTCTCTGTTTCTGCGATTCTTCAAGTCTGCTTATTCGATTTCAAGCAAATGAATTCGAGATTGAAAAGCTTTTGTAAGAGTTCACACTTGGCAAGCATTGCGAATGGTAAAATACAGTTTGCATTACAATCAGACGGAAACTTTGATGCGGTTGGAAATAAGAGTTTATTGGGTTTCTGGATAAGTTCGATAAGATGGAATATCGTCAATCTACAAATGAGATAAGCAATAAATATACTTAAAATTACTTCATAGCTTGTAACTATATTTCCGATAAGGTTAATTGAGACCTCATATACAACTTGATCGATTACCTTGTAAAATCCGAATCATCTTCAAAAACCCTATATAAAAATGCCTTTCCAAAGGCCTATAACTATCCTTTAAGTCCTTCAACCCAAACAATGGATTAATGGATGACTAAAGGATCCCCCAAAAACGGATTGTCAAGAAAGGAGAGGGAGGGAGACGAGCATGACTGTGGAATGTTGAACCTGTCACGGGTTATACGCCCACATACACATAAATTTCCTGCTAAATCATCCCAAACAAACGAAAATATTGCTTAATCAAATTGAATGACCTTCGTGCCCAACGGCCTGACGTTGCAAGAAAAAAATCCTAAAGGCAGCAAAAAAAAAAAACGGGAATGTCCGCGTGAAAATTGAAATTGTTCTAATCAGCCGTCGAGGAGGTTGTTTCTTTCTTGTTTCGCATTTTTTTTTTGTGTTTTCTGGGCTGGCAAACACGTGTTATTGAATCATTGGAAAGGAAAAGCATGGGCAGCAGTACCAAGAGGAAAAAACAAGTAGAGGACCGGGAAAAAACATTTACGCTTCGCTGGGGTTCAACGGACTTTTGACTTTTGACCAGAAACCAAAAAAATAAAAGAGAAACACAGACACCAAAGAAGCCGAACCGTAATCCCGGTTTTGTGGACTTGATCTGCAGCGGAAATTGTTGTACAAATTATGCTCCACTGATTGCCAAGGTTTTTAGTGTGTTTCCCTGCTTCTGCCTTCGTGTTGCCTGATGAGCTGTTAAATGCGAGGGGAAATAACCCAGGGCCCAGCTATTGACAGTTTTTCCCAGCCATCACGCAATAAAGTCGTTATGGGCCACTTCAAGAAATATGTCCTTCCCCCCTTTCGTCTAATAAATCTCCAATAAAAACGGCAAATAAAATAAAGATTCGTTTTGCGATTGTACAAGTATCCATCCCTTTCAACTGCAACTGGGACCCATTACCCATTACCATTTTACCCCAACAGTCACGACATGATTTTTATGATAAGATTTTCAATTTCAATCGACAGACAAGAACGATAACGATAAAGAAAATCTACAGATCCCGCCATAAAGGTAGGTTTGTGCCGTAAAACAATGGAATAACCACAATTCCGTGAAGCGTATTAAGCCAATAAAAGAAAAAATCACATAAAACTGTTGGTTTTAGTTTAGCATAATAAAATGTAAACATTAACCCAGCCAGCGGTGTGGAATAAGTTGGGAATGTGGCCAAAAAAAAAAGCTCGCCCCACAATCTCTGCATATGGAATTATGGGAATTTTATTGCGGGTCCCGCACTGCAAAGCCCACAAAATCTCTGCTTCTGGCCAAAATGTCGCTGGCATATTTGTGCGTAAATACATTTTTAGCCATCGATTGCAAATAAAATAACAACATCAAGCCATCCGATGATCTGACCTGGCCGGCAAACTCCAATTGTTTTTTCAAATAACAAAAACTGTTTCGTTGTTGTTTCTGTTCGATTCATCGCTGAACCTGACAGATGAGGGAAAACACGTTTTAATTTCTTTCCCCCAAAAATAAATTATGGTTGAGCGCTGAAAATACCAAAAACATACACATTTCAGTATGGGTTTGACAGATAATTTATACAAAAATAAATTGGGTGAGATTTTTAGGCGGAATTTCAAATTTAAACCAAACTGACAGGGTGTATTTTATTTATAAATTTTGATTACAAAATAAATACATTTTCGTATAATTTATTTAATTTTGTTCTTTTTGGATGATTGAATATATGTTCATATATATTTCTGTTTAATCAAACAATCCTTTTTTGCTGTTGTTCTGTTTAAAGTCATAGAACGCATTCATTTAATCTGAAATTTGATACCTTTTTTCTTTTTTAGTAAAATCAATATAAATCAATCACTCAACACTAAAATAAAACATATTAGTCGGAATAACAAGCTATTGATATATAGTATTAGTAAACCCTTTTACAGCAGCAATTTTTCACCATTTAAATTAGAATATAGCCGACTATATAAACCTGATATTTCTTATAAAGAGTTTTCCAAGTAATATACACTTGAAAAGTCGTAGAAAACTACAAACTGAAATTGATTTAATCAGAAATTTGCACTCCATGCCCACTTTCAACTCAACTCAAATTGCAAAACTTTGCAGCCAAGAACCAATTTCCATAGATGGAAAATTCCTGGGAAATCCAATTTTTAGCTACTTGAGCAGGTTTATGCACTTATATTCTGTCAGCTCTCTAATTGCTGGTCGATAACGGTGAAAAGCTAACACAAAAAAAAAAAGGAAAGCATAAAGAAATCTTGAGCCAAATACACAATTTCCATAGGATTGGCAAGAGGAAAATGCGTTCCTTTTTTTATTTTTTTGTATTTGCATAGAATATTTTGTTGCTGATTTAATTTTACGCTCGCGCCTTAACGGAAGCGGAAATTCGTAGTGGTTAAGTAGGAGGCTGCTGGTGGGCGTGGCACTTGACGATGTTTTTTGCTGCTGATTATGATGATGATCATAATGATGATGTCGCTGCCATCAGGTGGCGACGTTGTCGGAAGTGGCGAGTGTTCCTCTGCTGGCATTTTGAGCGCTCTTTGCATTATTTATAATTATTGCGAATTTTCATATAATTATGCGTGGGCGCATATTTTCAGCATCTCCCCCCGCTGCTCAATTTTCTTCTTTCGCTTGACACTTCATTCTCTGCATATATTTTGTGATATTTTTTCATTGTTGTTGTTGTTTAACCACCCCCACCTCCTGTCAGTTATTTATTTAAGCAGAAAATTTTTCTTCCCAACAGCGACGAAGAGACTATAAATATTAAAGTCAACGGTAGTTTGTGTCTGGGCGAGTATCCTTCTGTAATTAATGTTTGTTCTGAGATTTTTGCTGGCTGGCCATCCGCTTAAGGCACTCAAGTGGTACATTACAGTGTCCTTGTTGTTATTATTGTTACTTCCCTTTACTTTTGTGTGTGTATGTATGTGTGTGTGTTTGTTGTGTTGCGAAGGCCTGTGGATTATGTGAGTTTGCTGACATTTCTGAACGGCAGTTAAATGCCTCATTAGGTTAAGTTGCCTTCACTTGAATTTGTTTCCGTCTCAGGTTTTTGTCGGTTTATTGCCAAAAGATTTCATAATTTAATTGAAATTTATATTCAACTGGGGCTTAAATTTCATGCTTTGCCAGGTTTGGTATTCCTGTTGAAAGCAAAAACAAGGCTGTTCACTTTATACATTTATCAATTTCGATATCGATTACGAATAATCATGTGAATAGGCTTACTTTAATTTAAAGTCAGAATGCCAATAATTTAATGTATTTTGGTTCTTATTTTTATTATTTGAGTTGAGTAACTTAAATCATATAAATAATTTATAATTATTTTACTTATACAATCTGAAATTTTTTCAAAAGTACCCACAATTTTCTTCAGTTATTTTCATAAAAAAATTATAAACACTGCAGCCTAAGCCCCTAAATATAAATTTGTATTCGCATCTATGAAATGAAAATACAAGTGTTAAAGTCTTACCTTATCCCAACCCGCTCATAAATCATCAGAAAAGCGTTATACACACCATTTACACACACCATCACACACGCTAAGCGTTCAATTTAGGGACTTGCAAAGTGAATTGGAAAATGTGTTGCCAACTTTTAGGGGCAAATGGAATGCCGCCGTTTTATATTGGTGCAAAAAAGGCAACTTTGTTTGGTAAAAAAAATTGATTAGAGGGGAGACTTAAAACTAAGCTGGCCCCATGCATATATGAATGGGAATTGGAAACTTGGACCCGTTCAATCGATAAAAATCCTTAGTCAGCCTTTTTGGGGCCTTAATCATTTTCAATACATACATATATATTTTTTTGGCTTTTGGCAATGGGCAACGTTTTTGAGCTCTTTGAAGCCAGAGTTAAGCACTCAAAGTGAGGCTATTTCATATATGGTTTTTTTTTCTGTTTTTCCTGCTGGCACTTTTCAATTTATTCAGATTTATACTTTGCATAGAGAGAACTTTTGGCGGATGAGCGCAGATGTGAAGCAAAAAAAAATATGAAAAAAAGAACGACGACCTCAGACAAAAGAAAAAATGGAGAGGCTGGCAAGTGAGCGGGAAAAAATCAACAAAATTGAGTAAAAACAATGAAGCGTAAACGATTTTTGCTGACATGTATGTGGAGGGTTGTGGGTTTGGGGTGTTGCAGAAGCATAAATATAATAAAAATAAGGCAGCAAACAAAAGGCAAACGCGAGTTGCCTGTTAAGCACCCCAAACACGGCAAAAATAATATATATATATACGGCAAAGTATAGAGTTTGGGGCCAAAAAGCACCTTATCCGTGACGTGACATGATTGTCATCCACATTGTCAACGGCAGGCAACCGCAGAACAGCAGTTCCCTTGG